CTGTTTTGTTAACTCACTTGAGGTTTTATTCTCTTCAAAAAAAGTAATAAGAAATATGGGAGTAAAAAAACCTCAAAAGTGTAATTGTTATTGTGAAGAAGAGAGGAAAGGAAGGTGGTCTAAGAGATATAAGTGCTTGTTTAAGTGTGTAGGGAGAAAAACCATATTACTGAGCTTTGTTGGATCATTGAACGGAACTCTCTGCAATCACACTGTAGGAATGTTTACTTTATATGCTTTAATTTTATAATTTGAACAACTGTTTCTAAGAAGACAATATGTAACCTATTAACTAGTGATTTCTTACTGTATTTTTTTCTTGAAATTCTGCATGATTTGTACCCTTTACTGCTTTGTTTTTTTATGTTCTTTTTTTCTCTTTAAAAAAATTAAACTGGAATTTATATCTTTTATTTATTTTTTGGTACTGGGGATCAAACTGATTACTTTACACTTGCCAAGCAGGAACTTAAGCCACTGAGCTAAATCCCCAGCCACCCAATATATATCTTTCACATCTTATCATCTTCAGAGAAGTGGCCTCTACTCTTGGACTTGATGCCAGCAAGCATACCAAATGTGAATAAAATCAGTCATGGCCAAATAACATTCAAACAAACCAGCTTCCAATAAGATCAGTCATAGTAAGACAATGTAAGTAATACAGGGTTTCAGTTTTAGTTAATAGGAAATTAAGGACAGTTACCATCATGGTATAACCTGCTATTTTTGGGTTACATCTCTGTGCCCTCAAATCTATTATGAGTAGACAGACCAGAACAAAATATAATCAAAATAAACAGAGCAACAGAACTACTATAGCTTTTAAATCCTGATACACTTTAACAATGTCCTCTGCCTTCTTTTTTTAGGCAATTCCTCACCTTTCTCCTTCTCAGGATACTATTATTCACTGTTCAGAGTATATTAGTTTAGTCTCTTATGTTCAGTTTCAGCATACATAAAAATAAAGACATCTACTACGAAGAGAATGAGACACATTATGGTAATCATCAACTTCCCCAAAATCAGTCTTGAAGATCACAAAAGCCTGCATCATCCTGTAATTATTTGATTACTTCTATAATGCTAAGTATATATTCAATGCTTGTGAAGATGGGAACAACTATTTGGAAAAAAACTAGAGACAGTAAGATAGACAATGAACATCTCAGTAGACTTGCTTTGAAACCTGTGTTTCCTTAACTTGTTTCCTTATGAACTGTTCTGTTTTGTTTTGCCATGTTTAATCTTACGATCTTTAAGATAAAAAACAAGTTTGTAGAACATATAAGCATATTAATAAGTTTTTGTGGGATCACTGAGGTAAAATGTTTGCAGTGTCATTATTTGAATATCACTTCCTATGCTTAATTTTGTAACTTGAACAATTACTTCTAAGATGACAATATGTAACAAATCATTAGTGATTTCTTATTGTTTATTTTTCAGAAATTCTGTATTATTTCTACACTTTTTGGTTTTTTTTAAATAAAAATAATTCACCAAAAATATAAAATTAAGTTTTAAAAACAAAATATTAAGTACATAGACACTATCCATACTTGAAAGTGAAAAGCCCATTTCATTTACCATGTTTAATTACAAGATGCCATGTTGAAGCACAAAGACATTAAAAAATCTAAAGAGGTATAAGTGTTTAACTGAAAACCATACAAAATGTGTACTTGAGTAGAACTCCACTTCAGATTTGTTGTTTCTGGAATATTTGTGAAGAAATATCGACATCAAACTTCTGCATTGATTATTTCTTCAGGTCTTCTTGGAACTTTTAAAGTAAACTTAGATCTAAACTGTCTGAAGAGTGCTGCTTTTTCTATGTATTTAACAATAAACATGGATTGCCATATTTCTCACACTGTTAATACACATAGGATCCAGTGAGCTCTTTCAGATATGTAACAGTGATCAGGTGTGCTGAGAGTATTCCTATAACATATAGGATTTATCTCTTGTGTGATTTTCTTCATGTATTTCACTTATGATCTGGCTGCTGAAAATGTCTCCACTTGCTTACGTAGCCATCCCAGTGTGAATTGTTTCATGTGTTTTGCAATGACTGTATGTGTTAAAAGCTTTGCCACATTGTTATATGCATAGGGTTTCTCACCAGTGTGGAGTCATTGATGTATTTTACAAAACCCATGTGTGGTGAAAGCTTTCCCACATTCTTCACATAAACAGGGTTTCTCAGCAGTATAAATTATTTCATGTATTGGACAATGAGCATTTCTGCTGAAACCTTTCCCAAATTCATTACATATATAAGATTTATGCCCAGTGTGAAGATTTTCATGCATTATGCAATATGTACTTGTGCTCAAAAAATTCTCATGATGCTTATATACACTGGTTTTAACTTGAGTGTGAACTTTCATGTTGCTTACAATGTCCATGTTGGGTAAAAGCTTTCATATATAGGGTTTACATATATAGGGTTTCTCTCCAGTGTGATTTCTTTCATGTTGCTTACAATGTCTATGTTGGGTAAAAGCTTTCCCACATTTCTTACATACATATGGTTTCTGGTCAGTGTGAATTCTTTCATGTTCCTTACACTGTCGATGTGTGTTAAAACCTTTCCCACATTGCTTACATACATAGGGTTTCTCTCCAGTGTGAATTCTTTCATGTTGCTTACAATGTCTATGTTGGGTAAAAGCTTTCCCACATTGCGTACATACATATGGTTTCTCATCAGTGTGAATTCTTTCATGTTGCTTACAATGTCTATGTCGGGTAAAAGCTTTCCCACATTGCTTACATACATATGGTTTCTCACCAGTGTGAATTCTTTCATGTCCCTTACACTGTCAATATATGTTAAAACCTTTCCCACATTGCTTACATACATAGGGTTTCTCTCCAGTGTGAATTCTTTCATGCTTCTTAAAATATCCCCGTGTGTTAAAAGCTTTCCCACATTTCTTACATACATATGGTTTCACTCCAGTGTGAATTATGTCATGTTGCTTACAATGTCCAGATTTGGTGAACCCTTTTCCACATTGCTGACATACATAGGATTCCTGTCCACTGCAATATTTTTCATGGATCTGAACATTGTGGTGTGTTTCTGCTTCTTTAACATTCACATTACCTTCTGCAGTACAAAGGAATACTTCTTTACACTGATTCCAAGATGTATGTCCATAGGATTGCTCTAGCTTGTCATTTCTGTTAAAAAAAATCACATATCAGATTGATAACCATATAACTAAGTTTTTATTGGAGATTTGAACAAAATTTTTTGCAGTCTCGCTATTTGAATCCCCACTTCATATGTTTCACTTTTGTATTTCATTAACTATTTCTATGAGCAGCATATGTAATCATTGTCTTTAGATTTCTTACTGTTTATTTTCACTTTGAAAGTGGTATCATTTCTACTTATTTTGGTTTTTTTTTTTAGTTTTTCCTTACATTAAATAAAAAAATAAGAAACATGCACAGTGAAATGGGTCTCAGTTTAATGACTGCATTAATGTCAACTTCTGTTTATAATGACTGCTAAGAAATTCTGATCACAAAGTAACAGAATGGCCTTGTAAGACATGTTGAAAACAACCATTCCCAAAAGACTGGTACACATTTGGAAATCTTAAAATTTGATACTTTTTGAATTGCAGAATCCTTATCTTCACTTTGGGCATGGGTACATATGTGTATCACATACAGATCATTCTGATATGTTTGCCCATCACAATCTCCCTTCTGTCCTTAACCTGTAGTTCCCTTTTCCATATGGTCAGTCTTACTTTTCTCTATTAACTCTTTCATTTCATTCCACAATTTATATTTTGGTTTCTCATCTAAAAGAAACCCTGTGAACTTTTAGGTTTTATAGCTGAGCTATTTCACCAAATTGATGGGACAAAGAACCACCTATTTCTTATGGCAAATGACATTATATTATTAATTTTTTGACATTCTATAACACATTTTTTTCTTTTCCGTGCTGGGGATGAACAACAGCTATTAGCATAAAATCTATAGCATTTTAAATGGGTTTTAAGAGATTTCCACTGATCATTAAGCTGTGAAGTTTGAACTTGAATTTGCCATTCTGCAAAATCTGATTCCTGGTGTGCTGGATTTACAGGAATGCACAATCACAGAGAGTCTATTAACATTTTCCTTCTCCACAAATCCAGTGATAGATAGCTAAGCTTCTTCAAGGCCTGATCTATTATAACTTGATCTGCTTTGTATATGAGTAAGCATGTATCAGTATTTTAAGTGCATTTTGAATTTTTAAAATATATCCAGAACAAGTATGAGGGGATCAATTAATAGAGACAACTGCACACTGATGTTCAGAATGAGTGCACTTAACATTCCACTAGCCTTCTAAGAATTTTAGTCAGAATGGCTGATTCTTTAGAACATGGCTTGGAAACATAAGAACACCATTTTATTTCAAATTCTATTGCAATCTTAGCAATTTTTAGATGATGAATGTGTTGTATTCACATGTATATATGGGTAGAAAAACTGAAGGGAGAATGTCATAACTCAAAGTGTATGCCTTTCATACAATCTATCTGCAATGTCATACATTTTCATGATTTAATCCACTCATTATACATACCCTAGCTTATACATCTTCGGAGAATATTACTGACATTAAATTGAATATTGCCTCATTTCATTGGCGGCATTTTTCTGCTGACTCACTAATTACTCAGGAACCTTCCTTCTCCTTATGAGTGCGAATTACCTTAAGTATCTCCAGTAAATTTTGCATTCTTTTTCAGCTTCCTGGATATCCCCAAGTCCTCCTGAATTGTAGACATAAAAATCCCAGTGCTCATTAGAATAATACATACAAATTAATAGATTTTGTTTAGAGTTATGATATAATGTGTCCAGGTCTGAGCTATTTTTAAAAATATTTTCACATTGTTTTTAATGAAACAGCACTGATGCGTGACATACAACATTCTGAAAGCATGAGTGACAAAAGTATTTTGTCCTTACCAATTGCAGTCCTGTTCCTAAAGGTTTCGCCCATCACGTCTCTGTAGAGGTTCTTTTGGGATGGACTCAACAAAGTCCACTCCTCATTGCTGAAGTTCATGACCACATCCTCAAAGGTCACCACCTCCTAAAGGATCAATCATACATATATTTCTGACAGGAAGGTTGAGACACCAGGTTTGGGATATCTTAAATTCTCTCCTACAAATATGAATCAAAATCAAAGTGTGGTATATATCTATAATTCCAGCACTCAAAATGCTGAGGCAGGATGGTTTCAGTGAGTTCAGGGCAATTCTAGGCTCCATAGGTGTTCAAATCCAGCTGATATACATATAGAAAGCTTGTCTCAATAAAACAAAACAAAACTAAACAAATACAACCAAACAAAACAACTGAATGAGGACTGATTTCTTCAAATTTAAATCCATGTCTTGGTCATTAATTTTGTGTATATACACATTTTTGAAGACAGCAAATTTGATGATAGATTGCAACTCACTGCTAATGTAACAGTTAAATAGGAGCACTGATTCTTGTTCTGAGTCACTGCAATAGTCCCTGTGTACTGTCTCTAATGCAGAGCTCACAGTGAGAAGCCTGTAGGACCAGCATCCACAAAGCACCGAGGCAGATAAATATCCCATCAATCAACTGGGAAGCAAGCAAGCACCCCCCTTCCCTGGTACGTGGTGGTGGTGTAGCAGACTGTGGCCCATCCAGGGGGCAAACCAGCAGCAGCTCCTGAGATCCACGCCATGCTGGAATTTAGGACACTTGGAAGGCAAGTAAGCACCACTTCTCCCTGGTAAGCGGTGGCTGTCTCGCAGATTGTGGCCCTTCCAGGGGGAGAACCAGCAGCAGCTCCTGAGATCCACGCCATGTGGGAACTTAGGATGCTGTGAAACCAAACAACTGGCCTGTCTCCCTAGTAAGCAATAGTGAACCTACAGATGCACTAGAATCAAACATCCCACTTCCCTACCCCTCTTCTCCTGTCCCCCCCCCCCCCCGTTAGCAAATGGGAAACAGAAATCTGAGAGTCTCCTGGGAAGCAGACCATAACAAATAAGGGGGATTTCCTTCTATCTCTTTGAAGGCAAATATATTTGTTACTGTTTTGCTCTATTCTGAGTAATGGTATTGCTCTATTCAATATTTTTTGAAAAGTACTATAATGTTCTGTATTTCATCTCATTTTGGTATATGTGTTTGAAAGAACAACTATTGGGGCTGGGGATTTAGCTCAGCAGCATAAGCACCTGCCTCGCAAGCAGACAGTCGTAGATTCGATCCCCGGTACAGATAAAAAGGAAAAAAAAAAACAAAAAACAAAAGAAAGAACAACTATTATAAAGATAATAAAATATACTGTGATACCTATTATAGTTATCGCAGTAACCAGTTGTGAAGTTGTGTACCAATTTTACTATTTGATCTTAGTTGGCCTTATTCTGCCTTGTTCTGTGGTATTTTACCACTTTCAAAATTTAAAAAACGAAAAAAAATCTCATCAATCACTTTGATAGGCTGCAGATAATGTCTCTTCTAATCTCATTTAGGCCAGTGAGTACTTTGTTCTTAATATACTTCAGCAGCATTTTGAAACATGAATTTGGTTTCATAGAACAAAACATAAACAACATCCAATATGGGACACAAATAATAAATGTTAGTGGAAAATGCTGTTTTTGAAAAATAAGTATATAATATGGAAACAGGCCCAAGCTATAATTTATAGCTCACTGTCACCAAGCATTCATGATCAATTCAGATATAAGGAATATATCTTGTGAGGCTGGTGAAGGACTTCTTCCTTGAATTTGGGGCTAACCTAAGCTACAGAGCTGTCTAACATAGAGAAACCCTGACTGTGACACCCCACAGACAAAGTGAAACTTGAAAGGAGACTGCATAAGACACCTTTGGTTTGTTTTTAAAAATCATAGCCATACAATATGGAAAAATTCCAAAAATATTCAACACTTTCTGAGAAACAATGTGGATATCTTCCATACAACAAAGAAAACACTTGCATAGTTGGGTATTTAGCTCAGTGGCATGAACACCTGCCTGGAAAGCATAGGTCATGAGTCCGATTCTTGGTACAAAAAAAATCCACATTTTACCTTCATAACACTGGGGCATAATTAGAGATAATCAAAATTAGATCTCAAGTGTGGAATAGAAAACGCATGGGTTGACAAGGATATGAAACACTGATTTTTGCCAGAGCTGGTGTTGATCACATCAAGGAAGCAATCAGAATCCAACTTTAACTTCACACTTACTCTAAGAACTTCCTGAATTTCAGTGAAGACCCTCTCTGTTGTATGTCCTGCTATTGGCTTCCTGCATTTTGTCAGTCACTTGCACATCCTTTTCACGCTCCTCTGATCCATCCAATGTTCATCTATATTCGTATCCTACATTACATATAAAAGAGTATTAAGTCATCCATTTCCACTCACCTATTCAAGAAAATACCAACTATTTATTCTTAAGTGAATTGAACAGGAGAGAAGTAATATTGATTGGAACACTATAAATAATGCAGTGGAAAATAAAATGGAAAAACCACACAGGAATCCCTCCCAGGATGAGAGGTCTGCCATTGACCAGCTCCTCTCTCCTGTCCTCACTTGATGTGCAGGCCTGTGTCTCTTCACTGCTGGGTGGAGAGAGAACCAGGACACAAGCTCTCTTCAATCTCAGGAAAGATCAGGGACATGGCCTACTTTCAGCATTTTCAGTGGCTGCCATTTATAAAAAACTCAGCAACTGTGCTGTGGAACATTCATGGTTTCTAACTGTCCACACCTGAACTGATTAAGAAGAGAATATGGTGTCTATCAAACTCATTTTTTAAAATGAACCTTAAAGTGGAATTTCCAGGTTAAATGTATAAAGCAAGAATTTGAGGATCGCAGATATTTCACCGGAAGCCTCAGCATACAGCTAGAGCCTGGTAGAGGAAGACTGAGTCTGCTCAGATCTATGTGGAGATGTAAAGTCAGAGAGATGGTCCAGACAGAGGTGCAGGACACCATGGCACCTAGCAGGAACCATGGCTAAAAAAGGCCCAGTCCAGGCTGCCTCATCCATCAGAGAGTTCTAAGGAAAGCGTCACACATTCCACACTGGACAGGAGAAAGCTGAAATGGTTCCAGAGCTCCTTCCTACATGCCTGAGGCCCCCTGTCTCACTCAGGGGAGCTCTGTATGAGAAGGTCAGTCTGTTACAGGGCTCAAATTGACTGAATGTTTTCCACCCAGCTGCAGATCTGAACTGCCACATGTGGACTCACCATAGCTATGGAGCAGGACAGGTGTTTACAGGGTGCAGGCGAGGTGATGGAGGCACTGCAGGCAGGTCACGGTACAAAGCCTTAAATAAGAGACCAGGCCCTCACCAGGCCCAGTTTCCTCCAGCAGTAACCAAACCCTGCAAGAGTGTGCATTAAAAACTGAGTAACTGAAAGGAGTTACTCACAAAATTATATATTATGGAGATAGTTTGAATATACAAAAGTAAATGGTAACATCCGTAAATAAAATGAGATGTGACCCTTAAAGGATATGTGGTGTCCATTGATGTCCCGGAACCACATGCATTAGAAGGAAACAGTCTGATGAACAGAGCAATAAGGAGCCCAGGTAAACATCACAGCTGCTTAATAACAACAACAATGTTAGGATACAATAAGTGCACCGGTGAATTTTATCCAGTATGTGGTAAAGAATGAATACTGATTGTTTTTCAATTCTTCCATCAAATTGAAGAAAAAACCACCACCAACTTCTTTTAAGTGACAAGTCATGCTGACAATGAAGCCTGACAATAATGTATTAAAAATAAAATAAATGAAAACACTCTGTTGGCTAATATTCCTAACGAACATACACAAAAGTATTCAGCTAAATGTTTGCCACATTAACTCACCATCATATTCAAAATTAACCAACACGATCAACACTGGGCTCAATCGCAGTGGTGCAAGAATGTTCCCTCTCGCGCACTAACTAGTATGTGTTGCTTCACACTTTCACAGCATAAGGTACAGCTAACCCCTGAAGAAATTTGGAAAGACAGCTTTGAGAACCTCAAAAGTTCACCATTTTTTCATGATATAAATCATTCATAGACTATCAGTAGGAGGAATGGACTCAGCACAGCATGACAAGCTCCATCCTTGACATGGTGCTCAGAGGCTGACAAGCTGCAAGCTTTGCTTCTAGGGTCAGAAAGGAGACAAGGCTTGCAACTCTTTTCAACATACAGTACTCAAAGTCCTGGCCATAGAATTTAATCCAGAAAGAGAAAGCAAAGCCTTCCAAATCAGAAAGGAAGGATTAATTGTTGTTACAGTTCTCCTGAGGGTGCAGCATTGTATATAAGAAATTTAAACTCCATTGACAACCTTATAGAACAAATTCACAAATCACTTAAATTGCAGGATACATGAGCAACATGCTCTAATCAATTCATTACTACATACTACAAACAAATTGTAGTGTCAAATACAAAGAACACAATTCATTTCACAAATAATCAAAAATAACTAATGATTAGGGAAATTGAAGCAAACTCACATCTTCTTGGAATGCAATAAGTAGAAGAGCACTAACAGAAGAAAAGCCATACTGTGATGAGAGATGGGAAGAATTCATGTTATAACGTACATGCTACCCAGAGCAACCAGGTGTCTCAGTGCCATTCATGTCAAAATATCAGTGCCATTTTCCTAGAAACATAAAAAAATATGAAAATTCACAAGGAAGTACAAGGAGTCTTCCTATAGACATAGAAAGAACATTAAAAGTAGAGACATCAAAATACTAGTTTCCAGGTACTATAAAGTAACAGTAGTCAAAAGGGTTTTACACTGGAAGAAAAGGACCACAGACTAAAACAGCTTGCCCAGATGCACACCAAGTGACAAAATCACTAGGAATTTTATTTTGTTTCTTCTTTCCTTTCTTTTCTTCCCTATTTTTTCATTTTCATTTTATATTCAGGGTCTCCCTGTGTCATTGGAGCCTGAGCTGAACTCAGAATATGTTGCAGGCTTGTCTGGAACTCCAGGAACCCTGCTGCCTCAGCCACTTGAGTACAGGCATTATAGGCATTTTCACCATTCCTTGCTCAGCCAGTAAGTTTTTTTTTTTATTTAAAGAGAAAGACAAAAATAAATGAAGCAAGACAGTAAAAGGCTAGAAGCAACACAGAATTTCAAGAGAAAAAAACATACAGTAAGAGTAAGAGTTCACCAGTTAATAGATCACACATTGTCAACTTACAAACAGCTGTCCAGAGTACAAAATTAAAGCATACAAAGTGGAGATTAATACAGTGAGATTGCAGTCAGTTCTGTTCAATGATAGAAGAAAAAGTCAGCAATATGGTTCTCGTTCCTACACAGCTAAATAAAGTTGCAGTTGTATCCTGGAGATCACTTTCCTTCCTCTCTTTTTTACACTAACAATCGCGCATTTTAGTTTCCATTACTTCCACAGTTTTTTTAACTTTTTCTTTGAAGAGGAAAAGAAAAAAGTTTGAAAAAAAACAGGCCAAAAAAACAAAAAACAAAGCAAGATGGAGCACATCAATTTCTCCATTATGGTAAACCTTATGCTAGGTGTGCTGACTAAAGTACACACGCAAAAGAACCTCACAAAGATTTCTCACTAGAAAGTCTATTTTTGACTTTTCATTTTTATCATTTTTTTGCTCTCTTTCTTCTTTCCTTTTTTCTTCAGACAGGGTTTTGCTATGCAGTTCTGTCTGGCCTTGATCTTCCCTTGTGGCCCAGGATGACCTAAAACTCACCACAAACTTCCTGCCTCAGCCTTCGGAGGCCTGGAATGACAGGTGTGCAACAACATTCCTGACTGTGTTTTTGCTTTAAATTTTCTCCAAAACAAAACTCCTCAATGTTTTTGATATTTTCAAAGTTAATCAGGTTGGTTATACAAAACCAAATCAGAAAGTACTGAAAACACCATGAAGGACTTTCAAAATCCTCACCAACATATAACATAATATAACATAACAGAGCATAATATAGTATAGCCTAATAACACAAAAATAAATAAAAAAGGAACCACATAACTCTGCTTTAAATATCTGCTTCCAAAAATACAGCAAGAATTTCTAAGTTATCCATACACCAGCAATAGGATGCATTTTCTTTGAAATAAATGTTGGTATCCACTCAAATGCTTGTGTAAGAATGAGTGTGGCAGCTTCCTTTTGAAGTCTGACCCAAAAACATAAAAAATGGCCATCACAAGATGGGTGACAGGTGCATGTGCTTGCTTCAGCCACATAATAGTGGGTGGTGGCAGCACAGAGAGAGCCCAGTATGGAAACACTGCTTCAAGGAGACCAACCAAAGAGTATTACAACTGAAAAGGCTCAGCACCATCACCTCTAGGAAAAGGAAACTACCCATCAGAGACACAAAGCCCATGGTCTGATTGGCATGGGAGGAAAGGAAGTGACAGCAGCAGATAGGAGACAAGTTCCCCAGGAATGATGCACATGTGTCCTTCATCAGTACAGGGTGATGATGTCACCACCCCTTGTACTCACCACCTGCTATCCTCCCTCCCTGGAGGTCAGAGTTTGGAGCACTACAGTATATAGCTGAGTTGAACATCTAAGGATGAATAAATAATCATTCCTAAGCATGTGAGAGTAAAACTGGCTATGAATCCTCCTCCCTTGGATATATGGGGTTTATAACATGAGACCTTCACATTGTTTGGTAAAATTATTATGGCTATTCTGCTTCCTAATGGAACTGAAATGAAACTAAAATGAGCCCAAGAAAGGAAGTCATCCTAACATTTGACAAATCTTTAACAGAAGACAATGTGTCTTTCATCCTCCAAGACAATGGACCCTTTGTATGGACATTTGTGTTTGGCACCCAGCCTGACACATCTGAAGCATCTACATGTTTGCTGCATTAAAATCTTCAAAGTGCAACAAAGTCTAAAAGTATACACAGTTTTCTAGCATTTTAACTTGTTGTTTCTAAGGAGGACATAGATTTGTTCCACAACTAAAAGCAAGGTGATATCACAGAGGAAGGCCAAACTGTGGATGCCAGTGCATGACCTCACTTCCTTGGCAATAGGTCAAAACAGAACTCTGAAGGCTCAGGTCACCAGGCACCTTGGTCTGGTGACAGTTGGTCTTTACAGACAGTTGGCTCAAGACAGTGAACAGGGAGCAGGTTATGTTGCTTTCACAGGACACGAGACCCCAGCCTCAGGATCCCACATAGGTAGACCATGTGGGAATGGCTGAAAAAATGGTTCACTCATCCCAGGGCCTTCAGGATGATTGTGGGAAAATGCCAAATGACAAGGGCATTGAAGGAAAGGGTTCACTGTCCCCAGCCTTCTGGCACACAGAAGCAGGAGAGAGACCAGGACAGGTGTCACTAGAGTCAGCCACAAGCCACTCAGACTCAGAGTCCAGCAGAGTAACATTAAGGTCTGACCACCACGGTGAATCCCCCTACATGATTTCTGCCCTAAGTTGAGTGTGACTGGGTCTGACATGCCCTGAGGGCAGATCCTCATGAGCAGGTGCAGGTCTGGGGGGGATGCAAGCCTGGGCCACTGTCAGGTTCTCGCCCAAGATCAGGCTGGTGGAGCAGAAGGGCAGCATCCCTCTTTAATCCACAGTCTCCAGATTCCTCTTCTGTCTTCCTGGGTAGAAATATGGGACAGAGCTGTCTGTCTTACAGAAATATAACATTATCTGTGTTCACAAAGAAAAACCTGTCTTGTCTCAGAGCCTCAGAGCCTCTGGCTTCTTGCCAGAAGCTGTGCTCTGCCTCAGCAGTGTGGCATATAGGATACCAGTCTAGAGATGGTCACAAAACTATGTGTTCCATGGCTTTGCAGCAGATTCTGGGACCCACAACAGATGCTGGCTCAGGCACAAAGTGTGTGTACAGAAAGGACTATAAAGACTCTCAGATGACAGAGAGTATCTTTGGGTCAGTGCTACACTGTACTTAACTTTGAGAATTTGCATGAAACTCTAGCCAGTATTATTGAGCCTGTGATTATCCATGGAGATTTTAAAAATGTTTTCTAAGGAAAGTAGAAAAAGAAACAGTTATGTACAGCTATGTTTCCCTGCAGTACACTGACAGCTTTGAACCCAGCAGACAATGTTATGAGGCTGGTAATATGCACATCACCACCTCAATAAGGCCAAAGTTTCTACAAATGCTGGAGGTAAAATATGGAAATACTTTAACAACAAAAACAGTTGAAATAAAATATCCTAAATATGCACTTAATATACCAAATATAAACTAGGCGTGATGGCTCTTGTGTGGAGCCCAGTACTTGAGATACTAAGGAAGGAGAATTGTTTGAGACCACTCTGGGTTATAATGTGACCTCAAAGCCATCCTGAATTTCATAGCAACATGCATCCTCAAAAAGATAAATACATCAGATCTAATGAACATAATAGTGTACTAGTGATGGCCTTGTTACATTAGCATCACTATCATATTTATACTGACCTGTAGTCTACTGGAAAACCTAAGTCACAGCCGATTTCTCAATAAAATATCACACCATTTATCAAATGGAGTACACTAGTGAGTATTTGTTGTTCGTCATTGGTATTTGGTGGTGATGGAGCAGTGCTTGCTGCTGCTCTCCACAGAAAAATGAGTATTGCTGCAGGAACAGGAATCTCCATGAATCACTGCAATATGTCCTTAACTCTTTGGGGAAAAAACCCACTAAAGGAGGCACTGCACTAATGAGAATTACTTATCTTAGTCTTTTGAATACTTTAAAAACTGACTTCAGTAGTAGCTGAACTACTTAACTACATTTCCACCAACAAGACTAAATAATTCCTTTTCTCCTGTAGTCTTCTGAATGTTCTTTAGATCTTATGGTGATTAGTTCTCTCTGCAATGAAATGATGTCCCCATTTGCATTTCTGTATTGTGCAAAAATGCTCAATAGTTCTTCAAGTATTTCTTGGCAATTTGTACATAGTCTGAAAAATGTGTGTTCCTTTCACGTTCCTATTGGTTTTACATGTTAGCTGTCAGGGAGTAATAGGCAAAATTTTTCTCATTCTATAGTTTATTTCTTCATCATTTTGGTTTGACTTTTTTGTGGCATCTATGCTTACACAGCAGGATTAAAATCTTACAAAGTCCTTTTTGCAAGTTTTGTCACCCTATCTTATTTTCTACACAAAACAGCAGCAATAGTATTTAAAAACATGTTTTTTAATACCTCTACATTCAGAACATGAAATGTCTGGCTCTTTCATGTTTCACTATGTTTTACTCCAATAGAGGCATATTTGAGACTGCCCCACAAATTACCAAAAAAGTACACTTCCTGAATAAAGAAAAATCACAATTTTCAGTAGTGATTCATTTACCCTATCGTACATTTATATTCTTGACCTCAACGTACTTGTTTCCTTAAACTTCAAATGCAGGCATAAAAACAACTGTTTCACACTCTGCTAAACCATCTAGCAATTGCCTCCCAAAGTCAGCTTCCAAGCCATTATCATCCCATCTCATTCTCTCCTGATGCTTGAACTAAAGAAATCATCTTTAGCCTAATCTTTATAGGTAACTCCTTACAAATGCAATTATTAAATGCAAAATGATCAAAAATTGCATACTTTTTGTTAGTTTTTATAAAATAACAAGGAATATAAAAGTGACAGTTCTACTGTATTCAATACAAGAATGAATGGGTTAAATTGACAAGTGCCCAAATGATGCTCAGGATGGTCACTGCAAAAACAAATGTGTTTCGCAAGTGATTCTCCGGGATAACGGATACATGGCCAACCGATAAAAGGACAACTACTGATGTGCAATTGTGAGTATTAAAAAATGTTGATGCTGGGGAAGAAAGGGAGGAGATCTAAAGCATTGAGCTACATCTGCAGAACTTGAAGATATATTTTGAGACAAGGTCACTCTAATTGTGTAGGTTAGACTCAACTTCCTCTTCCACTAATTTAAGCCCACTGAGGTGCTAGGATTACAAGCATGCATCAACAGGACCAGCAAGATTTACTTTCATGGTAAAATGAGAAAGTGCATGTACTCAGGATATATGTCTTATAAATTCAGTATTCTATTATTAGCTGTAGTACAAACTCCAAATATTCCCATTGATGGTAAGCAGAAATATGCTGCAGGGAATCTGGCCACATGCTGTAATACATATAGACTGACAATGTACTTCACAGTGTCTTTTACTTTGTGAAGTATATCAGGTTCTTCAGGTACAAAATAGATATAGTTTTAGTGGTGATTACATAAGAGGTAAGTAATTTATTTTCCCAAGGATAATTGAGACAATGAGAAAGTGAGAATTGAGACAATGTACTTCACAGTGTCTTTTACTTTGTGAAGTATATCAGGTTCTTCAAGTACAAAATAGGTATAGTTTTAGTGGTGATTACATAAGAGGTAAGTAATTTATTTTCCCAAGGATAAATGAGACTTGGCAAGCTATCTTCACTGGATTAAGGGTATTTAATGCAATGTACACTTGTGTTTTCATGACACCACAGTTTTAAGCAATATAATTCCATTGGAACTTAAGCAGATTTTGTATTCAACAACACAGCATTAAACATATTACAAATTACATGAATGTTAAAATGGAAATGAAAACTACAGGCCACAGGAAACCAGCTGGGACTCATGGCCCAGTGTATGTGTTTAAAGATAATCAGTACACACCACAAACATCATGCACTGGTCCTTATAAAGTGATATGCCATTGTATAAATTCACAATTCAGTAAAACAGAACATAATCTGAATCTTAATTTAGCAAATTTACTTTTTACTGTGTTGACAGCTCAAAATTTAGGTTTCCCTTCATGCCATTACTTCAGTATTTTTGGAAAAAACAGTAATAATTACAAAATATATAATGCATTCACAGCATCGAGGAATAAAATAAAGGCATTTGCATGATACATCTAATAACAACATTTCCCCCCAAACAACTCCATATTTAAGAAAAACTGATTTCAAAATATGGTTACTCATAAATCATGCCAAATTTTATAATTTCTGGAGATATATATATATATATATATATTGTGATGTACTATTGGAGACAAGTTATGATTCTGTCAGTATGGCACAATCAGAAATTCACAGTAGTATGGTTTACATTTGGTACATGTGGGGAAACCTTACTAGCAAATAAAGATGTAATATAAACATAACAAGTAAAATTCTGATGGTTAGAAAAACAAAGGTTTACTTAAATAACAAATATTGGCTCCACCGAGAAACAAAATCAGGCAACATAATTTACATGGTATGATATCCAGTGATGTTAGGAAATCAGCAGATGTCTTGTCACAACTTGGAAAACATAACATTCAGTAATGTACAAGTTACGTGAAAAGAACACAACTTTGTCAAAAACACATACTCCAACCTCTACAAATGTATACCTTAATGCCAAATATTGCATCAACTTCAGAAACATCATTTATGAAAGAGAAAATGAAGCATGTGCATCAAAAGATTAAAACAATGCCATGTTAAAATTACAGTTCACAAAAAAATAAGAGACTAGACTAATATCACTCTGAACAGTAAATAATAGTATTGCTCAATTTTATATCATAATGCTACAGAATTAGCTTGGGGTTTCTTAGTGTCATTTCTTCTTCAGAGTATCTGTTCATTACATTATGCATTATATTATTTGTTCAAATAAATAGGTTAGAAATTCTTCCGATGTGTGAATCTCTATGTGTATATCTATCCTTTCTGTGTTATAGGGGAAAACAGATCAAAATAAGACAACAAAACAAATTCCTAGAAAATCATGATATGAACGAGACATATAAGACCACAATATTAGGAGATATAAAGTACTTATTATGCTTTCTCTTGTTATTTTCAATAGAATTGTCCACATCATCCGGGACTATACAATTAAGCATAACATTATATAGCTATTTTTATAAAAACACAATTTGAAGACGTTGTAGGATGTGAAAGCAGTTAATAATCAAACCTGATGTAGAACCCGTGGTTTCCTGCCAGGACCAGCAAGTCAGGCCAAGGCACGGAATATAATCAAGTCTGGAGGAACTCCCTTCCTCATCTGGGGACCAGCCCGTGGTTGCCCACTGGGACCAGTGATTTGGGACCAGCAAGTTGGAACCAGGGAGTCGGGCCAAGGCACAGAATTCTTCCCCAGTCTGGGGTAATTCTCTTCCTCACCTGGGGACCAGCCAAAGGATTCCTGCTGGGACCAGCAAGTGGGGCCGAGGAACAGATTCCAATTGCAGTGTGGGGGATCTCCCTACCTTGCCAGCAGGTTCGGCGTAGGCATGGAATCCCGTCCCAATCTGGGTGAACTCACTCCCTCACTTGGAACAACACTTGAAGCTTGAAAATACAGCAAAATGACAAAATGAGAGACCAAATGCAATCTCAAACATTCAGCCCATCCCAAAAAAGCCTAGGAGTCATGTGCATAGAAGAAAACACATTCACCATAACGGAAATACCTGAAATAATAGTAACTGAAATAAAGAAGCAACTTTGGGAAGTATTAAAGAAATTCAAACTAGAAATTATCTCGTAGGTAAAAAAAAGAAATGTTAAAAGAAATGAAGGAGATTCTGAACATATCTAAAGAAGACACAGTTAAAAAATTTGAGGAACTAAACAAAAAGATAGATTCCCTGGATGAACTCCATAAGAAACAAACAGAATACATAATGCAGATGCAAAGTGATATACAGGAAATCAAAAACTCCACTGAAAGTTGTAAAAACTGCCTCAATGAATGCAAAGATAGAATCTCAGACCCCAAAGACAAGATTGCAGCCAATGAACAGGAAAGGAAAGATCTTTCAAAAATAACAAGAAATCAGGAAATAACTATTCAACACCTGCAAGATGATGCAAAGCAAAACAACACAAGGTTGATAGGGATAAATGAAAAAAGGAGACAACATAAAGGATGTCAAGACAATATTTAGGGAAGTAGTAGCTGAAAATTTCCCAAACACGATACTGGAAACTGATATCAAGATCAATGAAGCATATAGAAATCCACATAGCCATAACCAAAATAAATCTACACCCTGACATATAATAATGACCATCCCAGAAACTGAGCAAAAAAATAGAATATTAAAAACTGTCAGAGAAAAGAGACAGAACACCTATAAAGGAAAATGTATCAGAATCACAGCAGACTTCTCAGCACAAACAATAAAGTCAAGAAGAGCATCCAGTGAAGTATTTCAAATCCTAAAGGAAAATGAAGATTTCCAACCTAGACTGATGTACCCTGAAAAACTGTACTTCAAAATCAATGGAGAAATAAGATACTTCTATGACAAAGAAAAGCTGAAAAACTTCATGATCACCAAGCCAACCCTGCAAAGAATACTGAAAGACAGCCTAGATACATTTAGGAAAGAACCTCTAAACAAAACAGACAGTTAAAAAGAGCAGAAAGATAAAGATGCAACAGCAGAAAGATAACATATCAACAATAAACCACTATACAACAGTTCCAACCATTAATGTAAATGGTCTCAATGGACCAATAAAAGAAACCAACTGTCAGAATGGATTAAGACACAAAATCCAACCATATGCAGTCTGCAAGAAACCCATCTAAACCCAAAAGGATACTCACAGACTGAAAGTCAAAGGATGGAAAACAATATTTCATGCAACAGGAACCAAAACAAAACAAAACAAAACAAACAAACAAAAAAACAGAGGTAGCTATTTTGTTTGCAGACAATGTGAACTTCAAGCCAATAATGATCAGAAGGGATAAAGAAGGTCACTAAATACTGGTTAGGGGAAAGCTCCAAGAGGAAGAGAAAACTATCTTAAATTTATGTGCACGAAACTCCAGAACACCCAATTATATAAAACAAGTACTAACAAAAACGAAAAATCAAATTAGCAGTAACACAATTCTAACAGGAGATATTAACACACCACTGACACCAATGGACAGATCAACCAGACAGAAAATGAGCAAAGAAATAAAAGAACTGAATTGCACCTGTGAATAAATGGACTTAATAGACATATACAGAGTATTCCACCCAACAAAAGAATACACATTCTTCTCAGTATTACATGGGTCATTCTCTAAAATAGACCATATATTAATACACAGAGCATATTTAAATAAATGCAAAAGGGTTGAAATTATCCCTTGCTTGCTACCAGATCATACCACGATGAAATTAGAAATTAATGATGAAAAATACTGCGAAAATCCCACAAACACATGGAAACTGAATAACACTGTTGAGTAATCAGTGAGTCACAGAGGAAATTAAAGCAGAAATTAAACAATACCTACAAACAAATGGAAACACAAATACAATGTACCAGAATCTGTGTGATGCAATGACAGCTGTTCTCTAAGGAAAATTTATGGCATTAGTTCCCACATTAGGAAAACAGAACGAATACAAATAAATAACCTGATGTTATACGTCAATCATGTAGAAAAAGAAGAGCAAGTCAAGCCCAAAGCCAAAAGAAAAGAATACATTATAAAAATCAGAGCAGAAATCAATGCAATAGAGACTAAAAAAACAATCCAAAAAATCAGTGAATCAAAGACTTGGTTCTTTGAAAGAATAAATAAAACTGAAAAGCTCCTAGCCAACCTTATTTGAAAAATGGAAGAAAATGTTCAAATACATGCAATAAGGAATAAAAGAGGTGAAATTACTACAGACCCTATTGAAATACAGAAGATCATCAATACCTATTTCGAAAACCTCTACTTTCAAAGGTTTTATAACACAGAGGAAATAAACAGATTCCAAAAGCATATGAAGTACCAAAGCTAGGTCATAAGATGTAAATCTACCCAAATTCTATTAATGAAATTGAAAACATAATAAAATCATTACCTACAAAGAGGAGCCCAGGCCCAGACAGATTCACTGAAGAATTCTGCAAGAAATATAAAGAAGACTTAATGCCAACACTCCACAAACTCTTCAATGAAATGGAAAGGGAAGCAATCCTTCATAAATTGTTCCTAGAAGCAAATATTACTCTAGTACAAAAGCCAGAGGAGGACGCAACTGAAAAAGAGAACTACAGACCAATCTCCCTAATGAACAAGGATGCAAAAATCCTCAATAAAATATTGGCAAATAGGATGCAGCAAATCAACAAGAAGATCATATATCATGACCAAGGGGGATTCATCCCAGCATGCAGAGATTGTTTAATATATGTAAATCAATAAATGTAATACACCATATCAATAGAGCCAAAAGTTATAATCACATGATCATTACTATAGATGCAGAAAAAGCTATTGATAAGGTCCAACATTCATTTATGATAAGAACTTTGCAGAAAATTGGAATAGATGGTCCTTACTCAATATAATTACGGCTGGCAATGACAAAACAACAGCCAGTACCATACTAAATGGTCAAAAATTGAAGGCCTTTACTTTAAAATCAGGCCCAAGGCAAGGATGACCCTTATCACAGCTCCTATTTAATATAGTACTGGAAATACTGGGCAGAGCAATTAGACAAGAGAGAGAAATAAAAGGTGTAAAGATATGAAAAGAAGTTAAATTATCATTATTTGCAGATGACATGATACTTTATATAGAAGATCCCCAAAGTGCCATTGAAAGATTCCTAGATATAATAAATTCAGTAATGTAGCTGGATACAGAATCAATACTCAAAAATCAATAGAATTCCTACACACTAACAATAAAGTCACAGAGACAGAAATAAGAGAGGCCACAGCCTTCACACTAGCAACCAAAAAAAAAAAAAAAAAAGGAATTACTCTCACGAAAGAAGTGAAAGACCTATACAGGGAAAATTATAACACACTGAAAAATGAAATTGAAGATGATCTCAGAAAATGGAAAGACATCCCTTGCTCATGGATAGGAAGAATAAGTATTGTGAAAATGTTCATTCTCCCAAAACTTTTATTCAGATGCAATGCAATCCCGATAAAAATACCATCAACATACCTCATAGAACTTGAGAAATCACCCCTAAAATTCATCTGGAATGAGAAGAAACCTAGAATAGCAAAGACAGTTAGAAGCAGCAAAAGCAAGGCAGGAGGTACCACAATCCCTGACTTGAAGTTATACTACAAAGCAACTGTAGTAAAATCAACATGGTACTGGAAACAAAACAAAGCCGAATATCAGTGGAATAGATGAGAAGATACAACCACCACTACAAACACACTCAAGTACATTATCTTTCATAAATGGGCCAAACATGTTCACTGGAAGAATGACATTCTGTTTAATAAATGGTGGTGAAAAACTGGCTCTCCATATTCCTAAAACTAAAACTAGACCCATGCCTATCACCATGTACTAAAATAAAATCTAAATGGATCAAAGATCTCAATATTAAAACAGAAAAATTCAATCTATTGGAAGACAAATTGGGTAAAAACATTGAAGTCATAGGAGTAGGTAGAGAATTGATGAACAGGACTCAAACAGCATGGGAAATGCTTCCCAGAATCAATAATTGGGATCACCTCTGATTAAAAAGTTTCTGCACATCAAAAGGAATCTCCAGTATAGTGAAAAGAAAACCCACACACTGGGAAAAAATCTTAGTGAACTTCCCCTCAGCCAGAGGACTTCTGTCTAAAACACATAAAGAATTTTCAAAAATGAGACCACCAAAATTCAAAGACCCAATCCAAAAATGAGCATCTGAGATGAATAAACAATTTTGAGATGAAGAAATACAAATGACAAATAAATACATGAAAAAATGTTCACCATCAATGGTCATTAGAGAAATACAAATTAAAACCACACTGAGATTTCATCTCACTCCGGAAAGAATGGCCAAGATCAAGAAAACCACCAACAACAAATGTTGGAGACACTGTTGGGAAAAAGGAACTCTCTTGCACTGTTCATGGGAGTGTAGACTGGTGCAACCATTGTGGAGATCAGTCTGGAGTTTTCCAGAAAGCTGGGACTGGAAGCACCTTTTGACCCAGCTATTCTACTTCTAGGCATATTCACAGAACTGAAAGCATCATTCCATAGTGATATATGTGCTCCCATTTTTATAGCAGCATAGTTTGTAATATCCAGATCTTGGAAACAACCTAAGTGTTCATCAACTGAGGAATGGATAAAAAAGTTTTGGTGTTTTTATACAATGGAGTACTACTCAGCTATAAAGAATGATCACATTGTCATATAAATAAATGGACACAGCTTGAGACCATATTCAGAAGTGAAATCAATCAAACTCACATGTATAAATACTGAATATATTCCCCAGTATAAGAAATGATAATACATAGAAGTATGTGGTAATCATGATACCCAATCATATTGGTTTGAATCCATATAATGTTTTTACTCA